CTACTGCCCTGACCACTAGTCTGCATAGACAGATGGTCCCTGACTTAGGATGGTTTGATTTGTGATATATTGACCATGATAGGAAAGTAACCAGTATCCAGTAGAAACCATACTCCAAATTTTGAATTTTGAATTGTGACCTTTTTTCTGACTAGTGATCTGTCACATGATACTCACTGGACATGCTGGGTACCTGCAGGTCTTAGGTGACCAGTGGGTCACAAGGAGAAACAGTGTGCTTGTTACTAAAGTGTATCCAATGCTTCTGTGCATTATGGTATCTTCTCTTGCTCTCCTTTTCTTATCGTCCCTTCCCCCGCCCCTTTCATTTTGTGAGACAAAATGTTGATACAAGCTAGGTAATCCAGGAAGAGGGAAGTTAACTAAGAAAGTGCCCCCATCAGATTGGCCTGTGGTGATATTTTATTTGTGCTGAAATGTGGTGATATTTGTATGTTAATAAATAAAGTTTGCCTGGAGATCAGAGGTCATTAGCGAGCCAGGAATAGAAGTCAGGTGGTGGTAGCCCATGTCCTTAATCTGATCACATGGCAGGCACAGTCTCTGGGTGTTCAAGGACACAGCCAAGCGTGGTGATACACCCCCTTTAATCCCAGTACCAACCATAGAGACCTGGAGGTCTGTACACACAGGCTGTGATGAGGAAGAGAGGTGGCTGGGCTAAGAGCCAATGAGAAGGCAGAACAGGAAGGCAATAAAGGCACAGGTTAGACAGGAAGAAGCTGGTTCTCTTGGGAAGCTATGGCGGCATGGTGAGCCAAGGTTAGCTGGTGGCTATCCCTATTTCTCTGATCTCTACGGCTTTCACCCCTGTATTTGGCTCTTTGTTTCTTATTTAATAAGACTATCTAGAAATTCATTTACAATGGCCTGTAGGCAAGTCTGTGGGGGTATTTTCTTGATTAATGATTGATGTGATAGGGCCCAGCTGACATTGGGTAGTGTCACCCCTGCACAGGTGGTCCTGGTTATGCAAAGAAAGGTAGTTGAGCAAGCTGTGGGGAACAAGCCAATAAAAAGCACTCCACCATGGCTTCTGCTGAATTCAGTTCCTCCCCCCAGGTCCTGCCTTGGCTTCCCACCTCCGGAACTGATGGATCGTGATTTGTAAACTAAATAAACCATTTTCTTCTCCAAGTTGTTTTTTGTTTGTTTTTGTTTTGTTTTGAGGCAGGGTTTGTCTGTGTAGACTTAGCTGTCATGGAACTCTCTCTCTCTGTAGACCAGGCTGGCCTCAAACTCACAGAGATCAGTCTGCCTCTGCCTCCCAAATGCTGGGAATAAAGGCAGGCGCCACCACTGCCTGGCTCCAAGCTGGTTTTGAGTAGTGTTTTATCATAGTTACAGAGACCACACTAGGACCAGTTCACCAGGTCAGTCTTGAATTTGTGATCCTTCTTCAGCCTTTGGAGTACTGTGATTACAGGTGTGTGGCAGCAAATCAGGCTGACTATACATATATAAAACTTAGGATGGGTTTATTGGGCTGTCAGACATGATGCAGCAAGGGGCATTGGTACTCCTGCTAGGTCATGGAACCATGGTAGTCAGTATTCTAATGTGGTCTCTAACATGCCCACCCGCTGATACGTAATACCCTCTTCATGAGAGTGAGACTGTCGCCGGGCGGTGGTGGCGCACGCCTTTAATCCCAGCACTCGGGAGGCAGAGCCAGGCGGATCTCTGTGAGTTCGAGGCCAGCCTGGGCTACCAAGTGAGTTCCAGGAAAGGCGCAAAGCTACACAGAGAAACCCTGTCTCGAAAAACCAAAAAAAAAAAAAAAAAAAAAAAAAGAAAAGAAAACAAAAAAGAGAGTGAGACTGTCCATGTGCCTGGACAGTTACTCCTTCAATAGGATTGTATTGTAGTACAAAGTGGTGGGATAGTCACTCTCAAGACATAGAGCCAAAACAGAAGGTTCTTTTACTGGCTTTGAAGAAGGAAGTTTACCAAGATTCTAGAGCAGTGGTTCTCAACCTGTGGGCTGTACCCGCCCCCCCCCCCCCATGGTCACATATCAGACAGCCTGCATATCAAATATTTACATTACTATTCATAACAGTAGCAAGATTACAGTTAAGTAGCAGTGAAATAATTTTATGATTTGGGGGTCACCACAACATGAACTATATAAAGGGTCGCAATGTTAGGAACGTTGAGAACCACTGTTTTTAGAGGGATTCTGAATGAAAGCATCCCGTAGCTTTGGGATGATGAGTTCTGTGGCAATGAGATTGGAAGAGAACCCTCCAGTTCCAGGAGTCAGGCAGGTTTACACCTCGGTTCTGCCCCAGGACATGCTTGAGCTCCCGCGCCACCCCCCACGCTGAGAGGAAATAAGTAAGTTTGTTTTGCTCCTCCTGGGGGGCATTTGCTATCAGTAGTAGTGGCTTCTCTTTGTAGTTTTTCAGTGGTCAGCATGGTGCCACGCCCCTCCCTCCAGCTCTTCTCACAGCACTGTGCAGTCTGAGAGAGGAATACTCTGTCGGTATTCACCAGGTGGAAGCCCAGGTGTTTTGCTAGGTAATTTTGTACCACTACAGCTTAAAACAGGGGCATGTGTGTTCACTATGCATTTGATTGTAGAATGAAAATGAAAACATATTTGTGTAATAGGCCAGTGAATTTTTGTTATAAACTTAAATTAAAATTTTTTTTTCTTTTGAAACAAGGTCTTGCTATGAAGTTAGGCTAGCCTTGAATGTGCGATTCTCCTGCCTCAGCTTCCTGAGTTCTGGGATTACAGGCATGTGTTAAGGTGCCTGGTTAAAACTTTTGGTGTTTTGGGAGCCTATGGAGCTTGACTAGTACGTTCATTATCAAGTTGTGGCAAACGTCAGCCTGGGGTCCCACCACAGGAACCAGCCAGGACGGGCCTAAAGGGATGCAACATGTTAGCACATACACTATAAGGGCATGATCTCCAAGCTGAACAAGCTGGGGTGCTGGAGCCCCTTCTTTGCATGTCACACTTAATGTCTTCTCAAACCCTCCCTCCTTCGATTTTCCCCAGGTGAGGCAAACAGGCTGGGAAGTCCTGTTCTCAGTCTGCCCAGCAGAGTGGCTCCACATTCCACTTGTTGAACGGACAGTGTATAGAAAGAATTCAGCATTGCACAAAGGGCAGCTCCTATGACGTCTATTCCACAGCTAAAGCTCAGCTGAGGATGCTGATCCCAGTGTGATTGAAGTCCCACCAACTGAGTGATGAAAACAAGAGCCACCTCGAAGTAGGCCGTCATTTACGCTAGGGTCATTGTAACCTATCTCACTCTCATTGGCACCCCTCAACACGACTTTCAAAATAACTGGTTATCACAAGCAATCAGAAGCAGCCCTAGATTGCAATAAAGCCAGGAAAAAACAAATTCCAAAGCAAACGGAGGACCCGGTCTCATTGCCCAGCCCCAGGAGGGTGTTCGTCGGGTTTGGCTAAAGATAGAGCTGGGGGCCCTCCCCCGGAACTTCAGGCTTATATCAATTTGTCACCCCAAACCTAACTTTTAAAGGTTTTTCTTTGGAAGTGTGGGTGCGAAACTGCTTTCCAAATCACACCATGCCGCAGGCTCTCAGAACATCTGTATATTATTTGAAAACCGAAAGAACATCCGGTTGGGTTGTTCGGGTGGGTGTGGGACCATGCCGCGGTGGGATGAAACAGCAAGGGGACACTTTAAAAACATGTCCACATGTTTTCAAAGAGAGGCAGAAAAATTATGAAAAAAATTACAAATTACGTTGGTTCAATTACAAATTTGATTAAAAAAAAAAACCGGCCTCCCCCACTTTTAGCACCAAAGTAAGGAGGAAAAAATAGGTTGCTGGGAAGCCCAAGTGATAAAGATCTCAGTGAGAGCCAAGGGACACAACTCATTACAGATAAGCCTAGTCCTTGCATTTCCCCCGGATGCCTCTCCCTGTAGCTTACTTAAACCGTGGCTCCTGGGGAAGCTGCCGGGAAACCAGTCCTGCCCCGGGTGCTGCTTTCCCCTGCCTCGGGAGAGAGGCGCACTTCACTCGCCCTCTGCCCAACCAGGCCAAGGTGCAGCCACCTTCTCCCCGGAGCCCAGAGTTGGGAAAACTCCGCTACAGACCTCGGTGGCTCGGGGAAAGCGGGTGTAGGACTGGGGCTGGATTTTGCAAGCCTGGGATTGACCACCCCCTCCCTCGCCCGGTCTCCCAGCCGTAGACTCGGCCAATAGAAGCTCAGAATGGGGAAGGAAAAAAAAATCAAATCTCAAAGCAACCCGAGTGCAAAGGCCGCTGGGCTTTGTCTCCTAACCTGGAATGCACCAGGAGGGAGACACGGGGGGTACAGGCACGGTCAAGGAGGTAAGGCCGTAAGGAAGTCCCCTCTCCATGAAAAAGGTAGCTGCCGGCCCCTCCTTCGCTCCAGATTCCAACCCCGCCATCCTTCCCACCTCCCCAAAGTCCCGGGTCCACGAGCTACAGCCAGCCTGGGATCTCTCCCGAATCCGCGCAGAACGCTTCGTCTGTAAGAGCTCGCAAATGGAGCAGAGCCACGCTGACCCTAGAAGGCAGCAGGTCTCCTCCCTGTCCTAAACGGAGCCACCGTTACCAGCTCCCCTAAACGTACACCCATAGCCCTGGGCACGCTTGGAGAGGCCAGTAGTGCAAGTCCTTGGAAGCGGGAGCCCAGCGCGGCCGCTTTAAGAGAGTGCAGCGCGCGCCCCCGCCGGCGGCAGCCCGGGGATGCGCATCACCGCGCGCCCGTGCCCGCGCGCCCCCGCCGCCGCGCGCCCCCAGCTCGCTCGCTCGCCCGCTCGCCGGCTTTAAAGTCTCTGCCAGGATCCATGCTCACATGTTACTTCCTGTATGGAGGCATGGCCAGTTTCCAGCCCCGCGCTCTCGGTTCCTCCCCAGCCTGCGCCGGAGCCACAACTTTCAGGAGCATGGACTGAAGGCGCCCTCGCCCCGGCGCCCCTCTGAGATCCTTTGTGTTTCTCTGAGCTCCTCCGGCCGTTTCTGTTCTGGGGGGCTCTGCGCTCCGCCCCACCGCTTCCCTCCCTTTCCCCGCTCGCAGACATGCCTCCTTCCTTGCCGGGGCCCTGGAAGGAGCTGCCCGCCTGAAGCCCGGAGCCGCCGTGCAGCGCGCAGCCCCGCCGTCGCCCGCCGGTTCTCGGGCTGCGCTGCGCTGCCGACTCAACTTGGGGCTCTTCCGCTGCTCGCCGCCGCCACCCGCGGTCCCTGCCTGCCCCGGGCCCCGGGCGCTGCCGCCGTGCGCCTTCTCTTCGCCCTGCCGGATCGGCTGGATCGTGTCTGAGCAGAAAGCAGCCCTTCTCTTTCCGAGAGGATCGTCTCTAGAGTGGCTTTGCATCCCCGGTCACTTTTTGAGGTTTTCCCGGGGGCGCTTGGCAGCATCCCGGATTCCTGAGGGACCGGTTTCCGAGCGTGGGGGATCCGTGTGGCGGGCCGGCCGAGAAAGCCTCCAGGCTTAGCGGAGCCTCGCTCGGAAGCAAGAACTTATTCAACAAGTTTACCCCCCTGCTTTTCTCTTTTCGATGTGCGTTTTCGGACATGCGGAGGTTACTGGAACCGTGTTGGTGGATTTTGTTCCTGAAAATCACCAGTTCTGTGCTCCATTATGTGGTGTGCTTCCCGGGTGAGTGAGGGCCGCCGATGGGACGCGGCTCCGGCCCGCGCGCGCGGGGTATGCGGAGTTGTCGCCGGGGCGCGGAGCTTGGGCGCCAGTCTAGGGACCGCGGAGAGGGTGAAGGGGGGCCGGGCTGCCGGGGAGGAAAGAGGGTTCTGCTTCATTGGCTCCGGCAGTGTTCTAGGAGGCTGGTAGTCGGGGAGGGCAGAAGCAGTGGAGGGCTAGGAAGGAGGATTGGGGACTCAGAGATCTGCTCTGACTGTAGCTTGGGAAGCTCGGAGCAGCTGGAGTCGGGGGACGGGTGGGACGGACTTGCTTTGCTGATCCGGAGCCGATCCAGAGGGCTAGAGTTGCAGGGTGTCTGGGGAGACTGGCTGTGGGGAGGATGCTCTGTTGGTTTTAGTAATCTGGGGTGCTCCCGTTGCTCCGGCGGGCATGGCAGGAGCTCATAACGGGGCTAGCTTTGCATCCTCTGACCCTTTGTGTGTGGGGGGGCGGTGTTTGGGGATGGAAGGCGGAGGCTGGTTGCAGAGGAATCAGGATGTGGAGAGCAGCCCGCGTTCTGGTCGCCGTGGCCAGGGCCACCTCCTTTCAGCCTTGCTCCGGGCTGAGGTGCGGGCTACGCCTCAGTGCCAGCGCGAGGCAGCTCCCTGGACGCGGGGGCCTGGGAGCGGCGGGAAGGCAGGGAGCCGAGGGTTTGGGCCAGATCGGAGCCTCTCGGGGCTCGCGGCCCCTTTCTGTACCACTCTTCTGGGCTGGGTTGCCGGGGTCCAAGTGCAAGGGGCGAGTCGGCAGCTGGGTTGCTTTTGGGGTCCGGGCAGATTTTTTGCTGTCTGGCGCGCCCTGCCTACCTTCATCTTTGCCCTTTTGCAGGCTGAGTGTGCTTGCCAGATTCAGACCCAGACCCGCTCCTTTCTAGCCAGGTTAAGACTGGAACAATATTGGCCACTGACGACAATCCTAAATCACTGCAAGTAGCAGTGTGCCGCCCGGCGACCCTCCACTCCCAGCCTTCAGCTCCCCCCACCCCCAGGTGAGGGCAGAGGCCAGCCGCCTTCCTCTTCTCTTGCAGAGTACGAGGGCTGCAGCTCCAAGTCTCCCTCAAGCTGCTCAGATCCTTCTCTGTAGGTGAAGGCCACGTCCTCTGTCCTGGCTGGGGAAAGGGGTGGGAGAGGGCGCGATTGGCTTTTCTTTCCTCGATCTCCTAAGGACAGAACACCCAGTTTTTCTGCTTTCTCATCCGCCCGTTCTGGAATATTTGGAGGCGGCGGTTATTCTAATCAAGAAGAAGATACGTGCCCCAGTGTTTCCGTTTTCCCCGGTTAATAGCCGCTTGTGCTTCGGCTGCCAGAGCGCGGGGTTTTGGCGCAGCGGGTACCCCCAACCCCGTCTTGCACCCAGGAGCCAGGCGCGAGGACCCTCGCTGCCCCCAGGGACCCGTTCTAAGGGGACTGGCAGCGATTGGGCCCTTCTTTGTAGGTTCGAGGAGGGTGGTGGTTGCGAGGGACAGAGGACAAAACACTTCGGGTTCTTGGGCTCCTTTTTCTCGGTTCATCATCCTCCGGTCTCTGGAACTGTCAACCCAGCTTTTGGCACAATCCAGAAACCCCCGCCCCAAGGATCGGTCAGGGTGTGCGTGCCTACTCACTCGGAGGCCCGGGTTTGCTCACTGGGGTCCTACCTCGGTGGAAGTAGTCGCCGAGGAGCATCTCCTCTGAGAATCAGCACTTCTCTCCCCTAGAGACCATTGAGCAGCATTTGTTTTTATCATAGCCTCTGACTAGATTCTTTTTTTTTTGGCCAAGGACTTACCAGCTGAGTGCGCTCGAGTGCACTCGGGGTCGAGCCTAGTAAGGGTCACTTTTTAATAGGGGCGGTGGGAGGCAGCCTTGCAAAACAGAAATTTCCAATTCCGTTTCTGGCTGACCCCTCCGGGCTATAGCCAGTGTTTTTACAATGTTTTTCTTCCTTCTGGTGTCTGAGGAGGCTTGCAACCCAATATGGGACCGCTAGGGATGCCGCCTTGTCGAGGCTTGAACCACTTCAGTTCTCCTCATTTTTTCGTCCCTGCCCAGGCTTCCAGGCAACTAGCCCTTTCCCTCACCCAGGAGCTGAGGGCCGTTTGTAAGAGGCACAGGGAAGGCAGCTTTTGGGCAAAGTAAAAATGGCAAAGTAAAAATGTCACATCCCTGGGAGATGATGGTTTCAGGTTTTCTGAGGTTGGTGAGGTGCCGCTGGACCTCAGGGGGCGCCCCAGAGCCGCCTGTCAAGCCCTTGCCTCCCCTAGACTGCCTCAGTCAACCACCTGCACGCACCAAGGGGTCGGGGCGCACGCGTCCAGGTGCCCAGGCTGGGGGTCTGCGACATCTGGCACTAGGCGGTACCCACAGCTCGATGCTGCCGCCCGCGGTAGGCTGGAAAACCCTTGGGACCGTTCGCTTTGGGACCTGGCACTTCTTGCTGCCATAGCTTCGGAAACGTTTAATGTTTGTCTTGGGGTCAATTTTAGCTTTTGGTTTTCATCTGGGCCCTCCTTGTGAGTTCTTAACTGAAATCTCGGGTTGGTTATTTTTGTTTGTTTTTTAGAATTCCACCAACTTTTCAGCTGCGTGTGAGCCCCCAGCTCCTCTTCAGAACTCAGAGTTGCTGTGGTTTAGGGAGGCCTTTGGAAGTAGCTAGGGCTTGGGTGTTTTCCAGCGGTCGGAAGTAGGGTTATTGCTCTTAACAGCGCGGTGAGTGTGGGATCCCTGCCACAGCTGGTGCTGCACATGAGGCCTTCAGAGTGCTGAGGGGGGAGTATTCTCAGACGTGACAGTGGGCACTTTGCGGTGTTTTCTAATTCTAAAACAGTGTGGGGAAAAAACATGAGAGGACATAGCAGATTCTTAGATGTCTCATCCGAAGCTCCCCAACCTCCTCAACACACGAGCTCAGGCTGGCCTCTGACCTGAGCTGGGCTGAGGTAGGCCTTGAACCCCTGATCCTCCTGCCTTCAGGAGTGCTGGGGTTACAGACCCAGAGTCAATGTGAGATTTTAAATCTAATTTCAATACGGTTGATTTAAATATTTGGTCTTTATCCCTAAACACTGGGAACCGAACCACCTCTGACAGGGTGGAAAGTGTTACCTTCTCTTCTGCACACAATCTGTTTTGCACTGCTTAGCTAATCATACAGACTTATAAAAACCAATTTCTTTTTTCTTTTGGCCATCAGAGTAATTCTCTGCGTGGTGATGACATTACATCTAGCAGGTTGCTGTTGGAATACTTCAGAAGGAGCCTGACTGCTTTTGTCCTGAGTGTGATGTCCAGTGAGTCCTGGCTTGTCCAGCATCAGGCTTTTCCAGTTACTACCTATGAGAGTTGGGCATTTCAGTGGCCATCCTTGGGACCTCCTCAGGCAGAGGCTGAGGTAGAGTTTGTAAGTCTTCTGTCTTCCTCTCAGAAGCTGGGTGAGATCTGACAGGCTTCTGACTCCCCAAGTGTTTCTTGTGAGAAAGAAGACTTTGTTATCTAGTCTGCATACTGAGTCCTGTTGACAACAATTCCAGAATCAAATTCTATTTCTCTTCTATACATTGTTTATGGTGAGGATTGCTGAAGTTAAAACCCAAATACAAACAGGCACAAATACGTGAAGGCATACCTGACTGAGTCTTTCCAAAAAAGAGGAAGTTCCCATCTTGGTTGACCAGAAGAAGGGGGCATTCAGGAGAAGGGCCTGGCATAGCACTGTTCCCTCGGAGACTGTGCTGCTTAAGAGAACGTCCAGGAAGTGTTGATGGTTGAATGCTGTGAGAAAAGCAAATAGAAAACAGAAAACAACAACTACGAAACCAACCAGTCAAAAACACACCTCAGATTTAACATTTATGTCGCTCACTCCTGAGTTCACATTAAAATCTCCTGTACCCATGCAGTAGTGGAAAGGAATGCCTGTGCCACACGGTGCCCTGTACTGCCTCTTGTCCCTCCTCTCAGTCTCTTGCTGCCATCTTTAGCCACAGGAGCAATCTGCCACCTACCTGCGCCTTCCCGGGGCAGGAAAGGCCATGAAGCCAAGCAGGAGAGCTGGCCTATAACAGGCCTTCTGTGGTAAAAGTGCCTTTGGTGGTTTTCATTGCGTGTTTCTATTCAGTGTTTTAATGGTAGCCAGTGGGGCCATGTAATGCAAGGTACAGATGACGGGCGTGCATATGATCAACACTTCCATCCTTAGCCATATCTCTTGTGTTTATGGCTTGGAACTTTCTGGGAAGAACTAAGGTATCAAAGTCCCATCTGCAGTGGTGACGTCCTCCAGTCAGCCTGTGGTCTCTCGGGTGCAGAGTGGTCATCAGTGGCTCTGCGATTCTGTCTCTACCTGTGCTAGGAATAAAAGGCACGTGTTTCTAGTAATACCAGGAAGCCAAGGAAGAAGTTCCCTGTGCCTGGTTCCCCACTGCCCGTGATCTAGGTCAAGGCAGTAGCCATGTGCAGGGATTCAGGAGTGAAGCTTGTTCTTGACAGAGCAGGCCCTCAGCAGGCTGGAGTCGGGCATTGGTCACCGGCTTGGCTTGGCACTAAGTGGGCACGTTTTAGACCTCCGTCAGCTACTCTAGATCTGCAGGAAGTATTGCCAGGATTAAAGATCACAGGCTTCCAGTTCCCAGTCTGAGAAATGAGAGCAACCATCTTGCCTGCTGAGAACTTCATAGGAAGCTATGACAGTTCTCTCTCCCCTCAGAATCAAGTGTCCCCCCCCCTTTTTTTGGTGTTACATTTATGTGCTATTGTAATGTAAAAAAAAGATAACCCACTGTAAATAAAAAGTGTTTTACTGTGGTTTTGGATTCAATCCCTAGCACTGATTTAAAAAAATATGTATATAAAAAAGGTGAATGTACTTCAAAATCCTGTATTTATTGTAACCCCTACCCCCCATTTTTTTGGATTCTTTGGTTCCAAATTCTCAGGACTAGACTAGTATTAATCTCTTTAAAAGATAAGTATCTTGTAGCAAGATTA